AAAAAAAAAACGAAGTTAAAATACGTTAAAACACAACACACAAACCCACACCTGTCTCTTATACACATCTAGATGTGTATAAGAGACAGATATTTAAATGTATAATGCAATTTTTTTTTTTTTAGAAAACTGTCTCAGAAATAAGCGAAAATAATTAAACAAGAAAATGGTGTGACACATTATGATAATCATAAGCTAAACTCCGATTTCTTAAATAAATATTACTGAAAAAGTTCAACAAAGGTACCACCCACGCATCCATTATTTTGTAAACAATTGTTTCTTTTTCGGAATTTCTTATCCTAATAGTGGTTTTTCATGTTTTCAAAAAAGGAAAATGTATTAAGTTTGATGTGGTTGATGTTCAATGAATTTTTTTTTTTTATTGTTAAAATCATTTTTAAAAATTTAAGGAGGACAATCGTTTATTTGTTGTTAGAATGTTCGTATGACGTAATGTATGAACGTCCCGAACAGATAAATATACTGCAGATCAATTTTCATTTATGATATGGTTTCTTTTATTTTTAACTGTACAATATTAATTACATCCATTATTTATGGTAATTTTGTAGTTTTTATTTAGCGTAACGAACCAAGTGACGAGTTGGAAAAAATGTTAAAAAGTTTAATAATTGAATAATTGAATACACGCTATAAAACATTTTTGTGCTAACAAATATTATTTACCATTATGAAGTGAGATACCTGATACGAAAGTATTTGCACAATACTTGACGACAATGAAATGGTAAAATAACAATGAATATTGACTATTGAGAGAAAAAAAAATTCGGGATTGATCGATCGACTTTCGATCATAGTTGATTGATCACGTGTAACATATCAGATATTTAATTGGATAAATGGCACGTGTTCGTAGATTATTCGTCAGTAATAATTTTGGCCCGAATTATGAAATTTGATCGATCACATGGTTCGTATAGCCGGTATAGGTGCTCGATCAATCGATCGGAGTCTCGGACCAATCAATAATCAAGCACGATTTGCTCGATCAAATTCACTATGAATATTCCGATATCTTTTCTTTAATTTTACAAATTACTTTTTTTATAGACGTAATACTTTGTTAACAATTTAAAATATTTTTATTAATATGTAAAGACTTAATAATTTTAATAATTTTAATAATTTTAATAATTTTAATAATTTTAATAATTTAATAATTTTAATAATTTTAATAATTTTAATAATTTTAATAATTTTAATAATTTTAATAATTTTAATAATTTTAATAATTTTAATAATTTTAATAATTTTAATAATTTTAATAATTTTAATAATTTTAATAATTTTAATAATTTAATAATTTTAATAATTTAATAATTTTAATAATACTCCGCAAAAATCAATGAATCATTATTAATGTTTGTTCTGAGTTAATTAGTTAGAAAAAAATTTTTTTTTTTTTAAAAAAAAGAATTTGCATCATAAAGATATAATTTTTTTTTTATAAATTGATTACGATTTTAATAAATTATTCTTAAAATTTATTCATGTCATGATAATAAGTTCCGGGAAAATGAGTGTCGGGATTTTGAGAACGTCGGGTTTGTATTATAATGATTATAATGGGATTCTGATCGTTAGGATTTCGTAATTAATCCGAATATTCCGTTTTTTCAATTAAAACCAATTTATCGTACTTAAATCAAACTTAAACAATTTTTTATATGAATAATTAATTCTGATTCGATAAAGGAATTTTAAAATGGGTTAATTTAAGATATTTCAAATTATTAGTTGAACGCAAAGTAAGTACTTCAACTTTTACTATAACTTATAAAATTCGCTTTTGAATTTTGCCACACTTGTAATTCAATTATAATAATTTTTAAAACAATAACTAATCAATAATTTGAAGTACTGAATTTGTTTCATGACCCCCATAATTCTGTAATATCGAGTAATAAGATAAATTATCAATAATTTCCGTACGATTTGTACGATTTTGAATTTTCCAAATTCAAAATATTAATATTAATTGGTATTCGGCTGATCCTATAAATTTGAATCCTAACTAAAATAATAATTACGTTAGTAAGTTATTAACAATACTTGTTCACATGATACGAAATATTATTGAACAAATAAAGAGCTCTGTATACAATACTTGTACAATACTACTTCCTAAATACCTCTTTTTTGATTAAATATTTTTATTTGATACACAAAAAATGTCTCTAATTTTTTCTAATTTTTAAATACAAGGCATTAAAAAATATATATATATATCAATATGTATTGTCTATATATAAAATTATAAAAAATTTGTTTCCTTAATTATTCCTTCATCAAAATATTTTTTCACAATAATTTTATGTTCTTCAGTAAAATTACCAAAATATAAATCAAATATAATTGGAAATCTATTTCTCCAACTTTCAAAAAAAGATTGTAAACTATCAACAGAAAATTTCCATTTATTTAATGAAAAACTATTTAAAGTATTTGGTGAAAATTTTACCAAGATTTCTAATAATTCATCACAAACATTTAATCTACCTTCATTACATAATGAAAGTCTTATTCTTTTTAATTGTGAACAATTTAATAAAATATCTTTTATTCCACTTAAATTTTTAAGTTCAACATCAATAGTTAATTTCTCTAATTTTGGACAATTTTTAGAAATTGCTTCAATTAATTTTTCTGAATGTAAAGGAGTTCTATTATAACTATGTCGACTTATATTAATTTCTACTATACTTCCATGAGATTTTTCAATCAACATACAATTAAATCGTATTGGTAAATATATAGTTTTAAGACAATGAAGATTTGGAAATGAAGAAATTGATAAATAATTTTTCCATTCTTGTAATCCCACAATTTCTTTTTTCATTTTAATCATATTCCTAAGATCTAAATGTTGTAAATTTATTAATAAAGGAAAAAATTTAGGTGAAAGTGTAGCAATAAATGGTTCCATGGTAAATTTTTTTATTGTACTAGCTTTTCTTTCTATTACTTCACTTAATTGTACACATGGTTCCTCTACTTCCATAAAATAAATAAATAATGATTGTAAATTTTTTTGAACATCAATTAACATAATTAATCCTGGAATATCACCATTACAATACCAAACTTTTAAATCTTCAATATTTTGACAAATTTTCGCCATATCAAATAATGCTGATGAATTCACAAATTGTAAATCAATAGTTAAAGCATATAATTGAGAAAAACAATTTGAAGCTCCTGTATATTCAAGTAAAGGTTGTGTAGTTTTCCAATAAAAATCTTTAATAACTTTACAATTATTTATAAATAATCTATAAATTTCTTGTTCTAATTTTTTATATTTATCATATTCAAATTCTTTCTTAATTAACGTTCTTATCATATCATCAATAAATTCTAATGAAATTTTTGATGATAAACTAATATAATTAAATAATGGTTTATTTGATAATATTTTTTTAGTATTTAATGGTAATTTAATATTATTATTTAATAAAAATTGTTTTGATTCATCTGGTAATAAATTAAATATTGTATTATAAAGTTTTTTATGAGAAATATTTTTTAACATATAAGGATTTTTCCATAATATTGGTATAACTATTTGACACCAATATTTATTTACTAACATACATGAATATAAAGAATTTGAATCATTTTTAAATTCAGTAAAAATAATTCTTAAACAATCTTCAATAAGTTGCGACATTTAAAATTTTATAGGTGTGTGTTTTTGTTGTGTGTAAAGAATGAATATAAAAAAAAAAAATTTTTTTTGAGAAAAAATTTTTTTTTTTTTTTATTATTAATGCACAGAATGTAGTGTAACAACTACTATGACTTCAATGGATTTCAATGATTGTCACGAACAATGGTTAAATATTTAACCGGCAGATCTTTTATTCCATGTCTATTTAAATTTTTTTCAATGGAAATTTTATTATTAATAAAATCAAATTTTATTTTATTATTTTTTGGTTCACCAAAGATTCTTGTACGACAACAAATTACAGATCTATGTAGATACTATACATAGAAATACATAATGTAAAAGGTAACTACTCCCTATTTGTATAAAGAGAAATTCTGCACATCCCTAGTACTAAGTATTCAAAGATCACCTTAGAGACCGATTCTTTGATATAATATTTTGTAGTTATTAAGGCATAATTACTATGATTAAAAAAAAAAATTTTTTTTTTTTATAAATCGTTATTTATAATGATAGTATTTGTTATTCTTTTTCTTTTATTATGTGAATAGTCAATTACTACAAGATTTGTTGCCAAATGCTGACATTTTCATCATAGAATTTTACCTTTTTGATTACAGTTTACAGTTGGCGAAATTGTCAAAATTTATGAAAGTAATATATGCTGAAAAAAAAAAATGAATATTTTTTGATCGTGCTGTTGCAACACATTAACTCATTAAACCAATGTTAAATTAAAAATCAAAATAATTCGCATTTTATTATCAGCCTTAACATTTTTAATAACACCCAACTCTTTATATCTTCAATTAGTTACAATTCATTCATTGGCGGCAACCAGTAATTTAATTATATCTGATGGATCAAGAAAGTTTTCCGTCATAAATGTACCTAATAATAAAATTTTGAGATTAAAAACATATTATTAAAAAATAATAATAATTATAATACTTTGCTTTTAATTGGATTTTTTACCTTAGGATTATTTCAGTAAAATATTAGGTAGTTCAATACGTACTAAAGTTTGATCATTATTTTTTATATTAGTTCGATAACTTTCTTTACAGGTAACATGATTATTTAAATAACCATATAAGCGTGAAATGTTTTTATCTGAGGGTTTTAACTTCAATATTTATATTATATAATCGTCATCATCCAAAATTTCAAGCAAAAATTTAAAATTGTCAATAATGTTTGTTACTGTATTTTCAATAACTGCTGAACCAATCCTACTTTGCAAAATGAATTGTTTATGCTTGAAACTACGCTTATTATACAAATGAGTGAAGTAAGACCATCACGTTTTGCTTTAAGTTTTAAGAAAAATTAGTATCATTACGATCAAGTAAAGCAATTTAAGATGCACTTTTACCCTTTTACCGCAACATCAATTTCGATTAAATATATTAAATTTCAAACTGACAGAAATGTCTTTATAGTTGTATTCCATTATTGGCCATGAGAAGGGTCAGCATGCTTTGGGAATTGAACGATTTTCGTCCCTTTATGAAAATTCAATAATAATAAATGATACTCTACTAAAAACATAAGCAAAGTACTCACAATTTTCGAATTTCCCTTGATTAGCAATAAAATAAATATTCTTGGCATTAAATATCGCAATATTCAAAGAAATAAACTTTTTTTTTATTTAATTCATGATTTGTTCTTATATTATTAATTATGGAATTTATTAATAAATTTTTCTTCATAAAAAAATTAGTATTACTAAAGAAAGTTAAAGTTTTTGATAAACCATTACCAAAATTTAAGGATAAAATCCTCTTTGGGTATACATTTATTATTATTGTAAGTGATTGTGTACAACATCCCTATACACTAGGACAAGTTACTATCTTACCTAACATCGTTAATTTCACAAAAAATGTCACCGGAACGAATACTACTAATTGCAATAAGTTGTACATTTGCACTTTTAATATAGTTACCTGTTTAGGTTCCTCAATTGTTGATTATGCATTCGTACCATCGTAATAGTTAACTACAGCCACCTATTAAATAAAAAAAACGCGACTCAGAAAATGAACAAAAGCAATTTAATTAATTAATTTGTAAACAGCTAAGTACATTTAGATCCCAATTAGTCACTTTAAATAGAATCGTACTTGTTGTTCGTTACATCTAATTTATCCTTATATTTAATCTTTGATGACCATATTTTCTTTAAGTAACGCGAATTTGTACTTGATTCCTGGCGTTTTTTAATGGTACTGGAGTTTCAATTACAGCAACAACGAAATCGTACATCCCAATTAAACAGAGAGAAGATAGACCTAAAAAAAGACGACGAAAAAAAAAAGAAGTTAACCCACACTCCCAAAACTCCCAAACCACACACTCCCAACCCACACTCCCAACCCACACTCCACTCCCAACCCACACTCCCAACCCACACACTCCCAACCCACACTCTCCAAACCCACACTCCCACACTCCCCCAACCCACTCTCACTCCCAACCCACACACCTAAATGAAGACGTAAAGAAAAGGGATCTAAGAGAAAACCTAATAAAGAGAAAACCTTAACAGAGAGAAGATAGACCTAAAAAAAAGAAGACGAAAAAAAAGAAGTTAAAACACAAAACACAAACCCCACACTCATAACCCATACTCCCAACTCACATACCTAAAGGAAAACGCAAAGAAAAGGACCTAAGAGATAAAGAGAAGACCTTGGTAGAGAGAAGATAAACCTAAAAAAAAGAAGACGAAAAAAAAAGAAGTTAAACACCACCACCCTCACCACACTCCCAACCCACACTTCCAACCCACACTCCCAACCCAAACACTCCCAACCCACACACCCAACCCACACACCCAACCCACACACTCCCAACCCACACACCCAACCCACACACTCCCAACCCTCCCAACCCACACACCTAAATGAAGACGTAAAGAAAAGGGATTTAAGAGAAGACCTAATAAAGAGAAAACCTTGACAGAGAGAAGATAGACCTAAAAAAAAATGACGACGAAAAAAAAAAACGAAGTTAAAATACGTTAAAACACAACACACAAACCCACACTCCTAACCCATACTCCAAACTTACGTACCTAAAGGAATCAAACGTAAAGAAAAGGAACCTAAGAGAAGGCCTAATAAAGAGAAGACTTGACGGAGAGAAGATAAACCTAAAAAAAAAGAAGACAAAAAAAAAAAGAAGTTAAAACACCACCACCCACACTCCAACCCAAAACCTCACACGACCATATACAGTACCTAAAGGAAGACGTAAAGAAAAGGGACCTAAGAGAAGGTCTAATAAAGAGAAGACCTGAAAGAGAGAAGATAGAACTAAAAAAAAAGACGACGAAAAAATAACGAAGTTAAAACACCACCACCAAACCCACCCACGCTTTCAGCCCACTCTCTTCGCCTAGGTTATGTTTACTTCGGCAAAAAAAGCTTTGTTTCTTTGGTTTATGTCTAAGTCATTCCTAAAATAAAGCTTTAAAGAATAGCTTTTTTTTTGTTTACTTCGCTGGAGAGAAGGAGAAACCGATAGTCTTTTTGGCTACTCGGTTGTTTGCTGGAGAGAGGAAGAGAGAATTTTTTTAAAAATAATTTGTGGATGGAAAGGCCTTTTATATAAATTTTCTAGTTATAGTCAGTATAGTCAGAGTATAAAAATTATTTCATAATTAATATAATTTTTTTTCCAATATTGTTTCTATAGCTACTGATTATAAAAGAGATGACTCATGATAGTCTTATGATTATTTACTTTTTTGAACAATACAATATTTACTGGACGTGATTTACGTGATTTGAAATTGTGGCTGATGTTTCTAAATCTGGACCTGAATTTTTACTCAGTCATAACTGATTGATAATCAGTTAGAGCTTGCTTAATATAGCTAAATTAATTGGTTATCTATGCCAATCACCCGAATTTTTACAGCCGGTACAAATCTGCAAACCTCATCAGTCATCACTATAAAATTTGCGTAACGAAATAATAAATAAGACAAATAGGACAATAAAACGATAAAGTGATAATTACCCAGGAATCGTCATTTTACTGGTTGTTGTAAACTGTAGAATATTTTATTTTTTTAATGTTCGTTTTTGTAGTTATGATATAAGGAATAATGTATATCTCGCGGGGGGCGATACGATTTAATCTAGCATGATGAATAGTATCACGTGACTAATAAATAATTATTTGTTTATCATCATTTTTTTTACACACTTCTTCGCACTCCTTCTTTGCCAAATTTCAAGTTAACTCCCAGAGATTTGTTCGTTATTTTATCACTTTTCTGTTAGTTTTTTCTTTGCTTTTATTAACTACGTACTCTTTAGTTAATTTTGAAATGGCTTCTTAAAATAGCTTTGACTATTGAAGTTAAGGTGAGTAGAACTTTCTCTCATTATTTTACATTTTTTTTCTTTTAAGTTAGTACTAACTAGTTTTCTTTTCTTTTTTTTTTATGGGTGGTGTTTCTGTGGTTCTTTATTTTTTTCTCTCTCTCTCTCATTTCCTTCATCCTTTTTATTTGTTTTTATTTTCCATCATTCCTTTTCATTATTTTCAATTCCCTTTAATCCTTTTCATTTATTATCGTTTTCCTTTGTTTCTTCTCGTTTTCATTTCTCTTTATTCCTTTTGTTTGTTTTTGTTTTCCCATTTATTTTTCATTTTCCTTCATTCTTTTTCTCGTTTAATTTCTGTTTATTTCATTCTTTTCATTTGTTTCATTCCTTTATCTGTTTCGTTTTCTTCATCTGTTTTGTTTCCTTCATCCTTTTGTTCCCTTCATCCATTTCGTTCTCATTATTTTCTCATTTTCATCATCCATTCCATTTTTATCATCATCTATCATCATCATCTGTTCCATTTTCTCATAATTATCATCCATTCCATTCTCATTATCATCATCAGATCCATTCTTACCATCAGTTTCATTCAATTTCTGTTTCTTCTTTATTCCTTTTTGTGCAACCTTAATTTCTGTTTCTCCATCATTCATTTCACTCATTTTTATTTTTCTTCTCTACTTTTGTTTAATTTCGTTTCTTTTCATTTCTTTTTGTTCAAACCTTGTTTTTCTTCATTTCTTTCATTTAACTTTCATTTATTTCTTTGTTTATTTTGATCCTTTTATTCCTAATTATTCCCCCTCTTTAAAAAAAAGAATTGATTTATAATCTGCTAATATAAAATAATCAAATTAAGACTATTAATAAACCATTTTTTTAATGTTATAAATTGTGAATCAAATCGGTAAACTTTTAATTAAAAATTAGCCAATTAAATTTCAAACATAAATCACGTGACAGGGTGCGAGACCTAAGCATTACACAGGGTGACAGGGATGCTAGATCCAAATAAAAAAAAAAACTCTCTCTCCTTTCTGTCAGAATTTATAAATTCCGCAGTAACCCTATTTTTTTAAAAAAAAATAAATTTTTTAACCTTTATTGTTAGTAAAAAAGGAGAGAGGACCACTTGGTGGCCTTGACAGAAAGTTCTCCTTAATATACCCCGTTGCTTTTAGAGAGTTTTTATAATAGTATACCAAATAGTTTTATTATTATGACACCTTTGAACATTTTACCTTCCTTTGGGAAAATAAAACCCTCTGACGCTTCTGTTTCTAAATCGCACGTGACCGTTCTTGATAAGGATGGTTACAACAAGAAATATTTACACAGAATACGTAATATTTTTGCTTATTCGTTTCAAACTCACAAGCTTAATCCATATATAGTTAGCGATAGAGGTTAGAACCGGAATCGGTTATCGGATTTATAACCGGGTTTAACCGATTCGAAATTTAACCGGTTTACGATTCGGTTAACCGGTTATATTCAAACCGGTTTAAACCGATTAACCGGTTATTTCCTGTCTCTTATACACATCTGTACCTAAAGGAAGNTTTCAGTTAATGAAATTTTAGAATTTTTTTTTTTGATTAATAATTTTAAATTTTTCGTTTTTTTTTTCAAACTGAAAAAAAAATTTTCTTCCTTTCTTCTTTCGGTTTAGTTTTTTTTCAAACCGAAAAATTTGTTTTTTCTCATTCTTTTCCCGTTTAGGTTTAATTTTTTTTCCCAAACTGAAAAATATTTTTTTTTTTTGAATTATTGTCCTTTTTTTTCAGAATTTTTTTCGGTACTTATTTTTTTTTAGATTCCTTTTTTTTTGGAAATTTCCCTTTTTTTGAACCGATTCCTTTCTTTATCCTTTTTCTTTCCCCCAAATTTATTTTCAATTTTTTTTTTCTTTCAATTTTTTTTATAACAACATGTAGGAAAGATGATTAAGATTTTCAAGTTTGATTTTCAAATTCATAAAAATCAAAAAAAATTGATATTTTTACAATATTTTACAATTAATTAATTAAAGAAATTATTGATTTAATAATAGACTATTGTAACCAAATCCATATTCGAAATTCTCTAAATAATCACCAGATTTTTGAATAAAAATTTTAATTCAAATGGTTTAGTTAAATTGATAATTTATTGAATAAAATGAGTATCAAAAGAATAATAATAAATGAAATGAACAGATTTCTAATATATTTGATTGTTCAAATATTTTTCCTAAGTTGATTATAAGTTTAAAATTGACGTAATATAAAATAATAAGAAATAATTATAAAATTTATAATTAATTAATAAAATATTTGAAACTTTATAGTGCTGGCCCGAATTACGAAATTTAAATCACGTGACTGCGGCTAAATAGTTTAGCCACCGGGTAAGTTATGTTACACAAAATTTTATTATAGATATTTGTGTCCCACAAAATTTCGAACTGTGTTACACAAGGGATGTAATTCCGGCCGGAATTATAACTTGGCAGGATTTATGCCGATCACATTTAATTCTGGCCAGAATTATCAAATATATACAAATCAGTTATTCGGTTTCAATCGGGTTTTGCGAAATCGGTTTGAAACGGATTGAACCGGTTGCGCCCGTTTTAAATTCGGTTTTCGAAAATAGAACCGGTTCTAAACTCTAGTTAGCGATACATGAGGTAGTGGTACCTTGTATAACACCAAAAAAAGCAGATACTTCCTTTTGGAGTTACACCCTAATGCTGATCTTTGTTTAACAAAGAAAAATTCTTTCAACGTCTACACCAATGATATTGATATGCTTAATGATCATCAGAGGATCTTCAACTCAACTAGTAAAAAAATCAATCTTAATTACTTAATAGGGACATATCTCGCGTTTATATTTTCTATCAACAGACAATTTTCACCTGATATTGTGAAAAAGTATTTTAAACGTTTACGCCAACTATTAATAGATAAATTAGTAGCGATTAAAAATAGACTTTTTTATTCGGCTAAAAATAGACAAACCAAAACTTATATCCGGTTCAGTTCTGGAACTCACGTGATCTATCTTGGATTTTATTTTCGCTGTAGTGATATTTGCACCCAACCAGCGGCCTTTGTACTTCCAAATAATCAATGGCAATGCAATGAACATTTTGCTCCTGTACCAGGGTTAAGATCAAAAACCACACAACGGAAAGGAAAAGATTATAAAACTGTTAACTTTAATCCATGGAAAGAAGTTCACTCAACACGTTTAGGTTTAAAATATAACGTGATTGTTAAACGTTATAATGAATGGAAAGGAAAGAATAATTCCGATTTAAAAGCGGTGATGGAACCTATCACACATAATAGAAAAGGTAAATCTACAACAAGACCCTTTTACAAAGAATACAAAAATGTTGAGTTTTACGATTATAGAACACCACAACAAGTCAAAAGATGGAATCGTTTAAAAAAGTCGACCATCAAACATGAAGAATTCTTATATCATAGTAAACCCTTTTTATTAAAAGAAAATTCTACGGTATTTAAAAAAGTTTCTCATCTTGTGGAACGGGAACCCTCATATGAGAAATCTGAGGAGGATAAATTATTGGATCAACTTACCCAGAAACGTGCCAAGAATTGGCGATGACGCGTTAATAATCGTAATAAACTCAAGAAAAAATTACCTGCACTACCTGTTAATTTTAGTGGTGATGCTCGGAACTATTATTTTCAAACATATAACATCAATTTATTCGCTTATAAAGTTAGAAGGCAATATGATTTGTCCAACATTCCTCAATGTCAATATGGCTATTTGAAGGCCAAGAGGCTTTATAATAATTATATGGATCGCAAAAATTTACGTCCCCCCATTATTAGACAACCATCTCCTCCTATTATTAGACAACCATCTCCTCCTCAAGTTATTAGTCAACCCACACAACCTCAAATTGATCCTCTTGCGCATTATGCTTTGAGGAGGGCTCAGTATAAAGGCGCACGAGCTTTGGCAACTTTTCATCAAAATTCTACTGCTTTTAAGACACTTGCTCCGTTACTTGTTGAACCTACATTGCCGCCAATGGTTTATCCAAGTGCAAAAGAAAAAGCTCGTTTAAACGCTTTGGCTAATGATGACACACCCTTACCCAATTCTAATCAACCTACTAACGATTTACTTTTGAGACGAATAGCACGACCTCGATCTAAAAAGAATACCCCTTCAACGGATATCGTTGATAATTGTAATACACCTCCACCTGGTCCTAGTCGACCTACCACTGATTCACCCCTAAGACCTATTGCACGACCTCACAGAAGGATAAATGATTTACCACCTACGCCTGAGTCGGATATTTACCCTTTTAAATAATAGTACACTCAAATTTGAATAGACACCGAAATTTTAAAAGACACCCAAAATATATACACCCAAATCTTAAAAGACATCCAAATTATATACACTCACCAAAAAACATTTACGGACCTTTTTATAATATATCATTTTGTATATGACAGTATTTACATACAATAGCTAGTAATAGTTAAAAGAAAAATACGCATGATAGATTAGAACTCTTTTTTTTAGTTTTGTTCGTCTTCGATTTCATGGTACCTGTTCCTTCATCGGTCGTGTTGTTGGACCAGTCTATATATAACAATTAGGTAGGGTCCGTTCTATGGAATGGATGATGGAACTAATGTTGGGCCTATTCTCATGGATTAATGCTCTCTTAGATAGTTCCTTCCGACTTTACATAAAATAAAATAAAATAAAATAAACGTGTTTATAAAATTAGAATACATTATGAAAGATTTAACGTGACTTTGTAAAGAGAAGATTTTTGTTTGAAAATCTAAAATTATGTAAGTTAAAATTAATTTAGTATCGCTATTAATACATTATTTCCATTTTTTTTTAATATATTTTAAGATATCTAAATTCTTCGATTTTATAACGTAATTGTCAGGTTCTACAAGTTCATAATCATTTCTTTTATTCTATTCGTCATTTAATTCTAATTTAAGTTTTAATTATTTTTAACTATACGATTTTGTTAATTCATCAATAGGTTTATCCAGGTATTTAACATTTTTTACACTTTAAATCAAATTTTCCTTCCAATTTTTAGTATATTTTACCATTGTTTTTCAATATCATCAAAACAATTCAATAAAAAGAGAGCAGTTCAGTTCTTTTGATCATTTCATTTAAATTTTCCTTTTATATATGAATCCTGTTTTGATACGAATGATATAGCAAATAAATTTCATAATGTCACACGTATTAATAGATTTTATATATTTAATTTAGTTTATTTTTTTTAAATGTATATTTTTAGATAGTTTATTGGTTAAATGAATAGTTTTATTATTTATGTTTGTATTGGATAATTTATATATATAGTTTATTTATTTTAGTTATTTTTAGTATAAACAGACAAACAGGAATCGGGAGGCTTAGGTTTAGGACGAAATGTGGTTTCAGGAATTTGGCCGATTGACAACTTGGCCGGAAGACAATTCGTATATCGGACGAATTGGTCCAGAGGACAAGTTGGACTTTGGACGAATTTTGGGAAAGTATATAAGGACGAGTTGGGGAGTGCTGGAAAGGCAGTATGTTGGTATATTTTCTTAATAGTTTAGCATTAGCATTTTGTAAAAGAAGGAATCTCCCGAATATTACAGAGCGTCGAATGCTCTACCGACTGTTTTCGATTTTTAAATACTCCATTTATTTTCCTATCGTGTACCGATCATCGCAAATTCCTTATTTTTATCTCGTTACTACCTGCATGAATACGGTGGTAACATTATCAAGATAAAGAGCATCGCGTCTAAAATAGAGATTTTCGTGAAGAAACTTTTTCTGTATCATCCGCATGTGGCTTTGTTTAAAACTAGCTTTGCTAGACTGTTAAAACAATATACAATAAAATATATATTTACATATTTTTTTTTTTTAAAAAAAAAATACATAATATATTACTACTAAACACTGCAACAGCGGCTCTTACGTCATTCGTCTTTTCCTTATCTGACTATTTCTTCCATTCTTTGACGTTATTTTGCTAAATTTGGATATTTTTATTTTTTTTTAGTATCTCATTTTGATAATATATAATGTCGGGTTTTGATAGCGTAAGAAAAAATCGAATTTCGCTCACAATTAAATTTATTAAAATTTTATGAATTATTTTTAGACGATTTTTACAAATCGTGGAAGCAAATTTTATATTCTTAGAGAGAATATTACTAGCTTGCATACAAGTAACATCTGTATAAGATGTAATATTCATACGCCAAAGGCCGACGGAGGAATATCCTTGAATAATTAATTCTCTTCCTAATATCTTGCTGTTTCTTTATTATTATACTTCATAATCACACTTTTTAAATTAAAGAAAAAGGAAAATAATTTAACGCATGTTAGTAATTCTATCTCCAGTGGAGTGTATTAGAAGCTTCTAATAAATTGTTATTGGAATTGAAATAGTGTTAGAATTGACTCCCAACTTTCAAGTGCACACCGTGAAACGGATTTTAAACTACCCTATATGGAATTTGAACATTTTAAATAGGCAGCTTGTTATTTGATATTTTTCTAGCCTTGCATGTCCACTTTTGACCTTTCCATCCACTGAAAATACAATTGGTGTAAAAGAGAGAATATTTACATAAACATAAGCTTTGCGTGGCGTTGATCATTTTCTGACTAATACCCTAGTTAATTGTGCAATGCGGATCATCAGACTAATGGAATTATCGGTAAAAAAAATATATTTTTCCAGAAAAACAAAATGACACATTTATGAGAGTCTTTATTCCTAAAAAAGAAAAACTCAATAGTAACAGATAACAATTAATAATAATAACAATTGGAAAAAGATTCCATAAATTTGTTCGGACGTCTAAATAAAAAGATGCCGTGGAATAATGTGATCATCAGGGCGTATTCCATGAGGTATTTTAAGGATATGAAATTCTGTAAAAGGAACAATGAATAATTGATTTTGCTAAAAAAAAAATATTTATTTTCATGTGGTGTTTATTTGAATCCAAATTATAAAATAATTGACATAAATATATGCAAATAAATAAGTAGATCTGTTGCATTATTTTTTTTTCAAAAAAAAAAATCTACAACGAACTTTTTATATTAGAACAATGGACAATAT